AAAAAAAACCACAATAATGTGTTTAATAATAATAAACAAAAATAATTAAGTTGTGAATAAGCCCTGAAAGTTTCAGTAAAATCCGACAATTATTTGGTTTTTGCAAGACTTTCCTAATCAATGTGTTTTTCATCGCAAAAAAAAGACGCTAAAATTCTCTATACTAATGTTTGGCCAGCGCGCTGACGCAAAAAGAAAATCAACATATTTAACTTAAATTTCGAACATTCTAAAACGGATAGAAAAAAGTGATGATTTTTTTCTAGTAGAAATTTTATGATGACAAAAAAAAAAACATTTTATGATTAAATTTTGCTCTCGTCAAAATATCCTCCTTTAGCCTTGATTACTACAGCACAAATGTTTGGCATTCGTTACAAAAGTCTCTCAAAGTATAAGTTTGTCAATTCATTCCATTCTTTTTTCAATGACGCCAAGAGCACTTTTCATTTTTTGAATGGAAAGCTTTCATTCTTCTATCAAATTCATTCCACGCTAATTCTGGGGGTAGCTTCAAACGTTCGAACTGTAGTGTAAATTATTACACATGGTTAAAAACAAGTAAGACATGATTTTTATTAGAAATTGTATTATGACAAAAAGGAAAAAAAAGAGTATTTTATGATTAAATTTTGCTCTCGTCAAAATATCCTCCTTTAGCCTCGATTACTGCTGCACAGTCTTTTAGCATTTGTTACAAAAGCTTCTCAAAATTTGATAATTGATTCCATTCTTTTTTCAATGACTCTAAGAGCTCTTTTTTTCACTCTTCTGTTATGTTCATCCCATGTTATTTCTGGGGGTCGCTTCAAACTTTTGAACTGTTGTATAAATACACAGGACATAATCTAGAAAGTGAATAAATAGATTCGGGCTCTCATTTCCTCTTTGTACTCCTGCTGAGGTTTTCAGTGTTGAGGTCCTCGTCAGACATGTACAATTCCGTAGATCGATAAAGTTCCTTTATTAGATCAATGCATTCAGTGGATTCGGGGCTTAGAAGGCGAATTCTAATGAATAAGACGAGGAAGTCTCTCTTGATATGGGGATATACTGCTGTGAGGTAGATAAAGCTGGTATACAGTTTCCTCTTAAAGGGGTAAGCAATTTCTTGGAGGTGTTTGATGACATATATGCCACCATTGCATTCTTATCAGAACGAAAACCAAACTGGGTCCTGTTGTAATAGCTGACGCTATAATTATTCTAGAGGATTTATGTTAAAATCGAAAGTATTGATTGCATATTGTATTTGAGAGAATTAATACATTTGATATATAGTGATCTCCGATTATTATACATACAGATTTGTACTGATATTTTCGACAGTCATTTTTTCATATATACAGGGTCGGTTTATCCTATAGACAATAATGGTATCCCAAATTTCTAGGAACCGGTTTTGTAAATGCAAATAATCTTTAGGGACCTATTCAGCTTATTTTGTCTTTAAACTGAGAATGGAAACAAATCATTTTAGAGTATCAAAAAGAATTAAACCATTTTGATAATTTAATAGAAAATATTTATTTATTCCGTTTCGTAAAATAACATCTACTGGATGCTTTAGTACACATCATCAGTGATGTTTCTAGCCGAGGTTCATTAGGGGTTTCAGGTCTTTCAACATCATACACCCGCTCTCCAGGGTGACCCAACCGATACTGATCGGGTATCGACGTGTAGCTTCCGTTAGCTACAATATTTTCCATCCTCCCGACCACAGAGTGCGACTCCCCTTGGCAATTTATGGCCCGATCACAGATTACATCCGGTTCATCAGCAATGCGTGCTCTTCTATAAAAAAAAAAAAGGAAGTAAACGCAAACACAATTTCTAAATGGTCAGAAATATGGCGGCATGTCGGCTTCAAGTGGTTAAGTAAGGATTTGATTCCTCACTGAGACAAATACGAATAGATGTACACAGATGAAAACGCGCTCAAGATTGAACTTCTGTTCTCATCATATTTCTATTCAGAAGTGTGATGCTTTTTTTTTACTCTAGTGTCATCAGTTGTGTTATGCTTTGCAAGTGTGTCTACAGCCTTATGCAAATTATATATATATATATATATATATATATATATATATATATATATATATAGATAGATAGATAGATAGATCTATATTATGAAATAGACAAAGTCCGACAATTATTTTAAGACTTTTTTATGTTTATACATTCTTTTTATAGATACAAATATTTAAGTAAATGCTCTGTTTATAATAAACAGTATTAAACACCATTTAGCGGCCTGAAAATATTCGTCCTCCGACAGGATTCGAACCTGGGGGTTCAGTTAGCAGATATGAATGTACGTGAGAGATTCATAGAAGATTGAAGTTTAAAGACAGTAAATTCGACCTTGCTAACCGAACGCTCCTCTGTGGCCAAATCGGTTACAGGCACGTCAGGCTAAATGACAGCTCCGTATAGGATACGGGTTCGATTCCTGTCGGAGGACAAATATATTCTATGACAATTTCTCGGACATTCAGGCCGGTAAATGTTGTTAATACTGTTTATTATAAACAGAGCATTTACTTAATTAATATTTGTAGCTATAAAAAATGTATAAACATAAAAATGTCTTTATATATACACACAGTTTTGTGCAAATGAATTAAAACAAAAGGAATGATTCCGTTATTATTTACTATTTTTTCGTATTGTTCCAATGAAAAATGACCCAGTGCAGATGTCAGTACTTCGTATGTCCATTCCACGAAGTCGTTCCTTGCATATAGGCCACAGATTCTCGATTGTATTTAAATCAGTAGAGCTTCCAGGCCAGTCTATAGTACTTTGATTTGCTCACTGGCAAGGCTTGCCAATGTGTTCGTGTAGTGTTACAACTTCCGTAAGCTTCCTTAGAGTAACGTCCATCGCAGACAATGGCCAGCTAATCGACAGCCGAGACAATGGTGTCTGGGCGTGATAAAAATCTGATACAGTCACGCAATATTTTTCAAAGTTAAACAAATTTCATCATACACCCCGAAAATAGATTTATATTACTGCATACCACAGCAAATGACCTAATCTGAGGGAAAAATAGAAATCGATTACACCCTGTCACTCCATTGGTCTGAAATTAAAGGTATGATAAAAGAAAGGAAATTAAAGCAGTTGTTTCAATTAATTTGTACAAGGGTGTACATGATAAAATTTAAAATTTGTATAGGACATAACCTTTTTCACACGTAAAAATTTAATTTTCAGAACACTTGAGCATTTTAGATCAAATTTTTGATGAACGTAACAATATTTTGTCATAGACCCTGATGATGACATTATACTAATGTCGAAAGTATTCAGAATAAAATGAATACGTATCAACATAGTAATTTTCTTTCTTCCTTTAATAAGGATATTAAGAAAGTTGTCCGTAATTACGAGAGGATCCTATTAAGAATAAGTAGACAAAACTTGTCTAAATTATTTAATGTTGTGGCATAGCTACAGACGATATGTCCCCATTCACATAAATACAATAGTAAATACTGTATGTTGGTCTGCAGTTGGAGATTAGTCTCCAGCTGTGCTGGTCAAACTCTGCTTCCGGGCAGAGAGGATCCCCAGACGAGGTTATGTCGAAGGGCAGAGTCTCGTCTCGGGAAACAGCTACCCGACCCCGTTTTATATGGGGTCTACGGGGAATTTTTGGCCAAACCTACGGGTTCGGATACCCCACGTTAATTTCGGCCTTGTTCCACATCTGACCGCATGGGGCGGTTGGTAGATATCCTGTAGTTGGAGATTCATTGTAGATTTCACTTGACTCGCTTCCAGCAGTTGACTACTTCTTCTACGCGCGGCTGGCGAATCTTATATGCGTTGTTTGTGTCCTAAGTATTGTTGTTCGTTTCCTAAGTATTATTGTTCCTTACCAAACTTCGTGTGATTATTCTATTCAGTAACCTTCCTAGGTTATAACTTCTAATGAGACATACCTTAATGAAAAACATGCTGCTCCAAAATATGCAATATATATATATATATATATATATATATATATATATATATATATATATATATATAGTTTATGCTTTTGAAGTAAAGTCTGATGATCCAGAACCCTGTTAAAGGGGTTATGGTGAAATAACTTCTTATGGAATCTTAACGTGGTCTGTTTTTTATTCAAATATATATATATATATATATATATATATATATATATATATATATATATATATTTGAATAAAAATATATATATATATATATATATATATATATTCTAAAGAAGAAATGGGTTATTTATTTATTAATCATAGAGATTTTATCACGTAATCGCAATTTTCAGTGGATACTCATATTTGAATAGACTTTTATATATATATTGTATATGTATATATATGTATTGTATTGTATATGTATATATATATGTATGTATATATATCTTTTGTATATATATATAGGTGGTGTATTGGTTAGCAAGCTTGTCTCGCTCAGAACTATTGCGACTGAGTAGTGAGTTCGATCCTCATTGAGTACCCCATACTTTCGGCCTTGTGCCACATCTGAGCTACGCTTGGAATATATATATATATATATATATATATATATATATATATATATATATATATATATATTGCGTGTATTTAGGCAGCAACCCTTCATTTATACATGCTTCATTTAGACTGTTTCTATGTACTCTGTATCCAGAAAAAACATTTGTTCGAACACAAGAAAAATTTAATAAAAGCTTAATCACAGAACCTTGTCTGTCGTCTTTAGTGAAGCATATATATATATATATATAAATATATATATATGTGTGTGTGTGTGTGTGTGTGTGTGTGTGTGTGTTTATATTAGAGAGAGAGTAATATAGAGAGATAGAGGTTTTAATAAGAAGAACTAATAGTTTGAATATTTGTGCCTAAACTGTGTTTCATCGACATAATATTGAAAATATTTGGTCTTTAAATTTCATTATTCCGCCATCGGTTAAAGAGGTTCAAATTCTTAATCAAATATCGATTATCAACAAGAATATGGCATTATTATCAAACCCCACAAAATATGAGGTAAGTCAAGTACATTTCCTTGTGATCATTGTTAATCTACAATGAAACATTTCTTCTTTGTACCGATTATGGCTCGCCACATCATTTCATCCCTTGTGAACCATAGCAGCTTGCCTCCCTAATTAACTTCTTGCTTATAATCTATCTATCTATCTATGTATCTATCTATCTTATTGCCTATAATTTCTATCTATCTATCTTAATGCCTATGATATCTGTCTATATATCTATTTATCTAAATTATTGCTTATAATCTAACTTATTACTTATATTCTATCTATCTTATTGCCTATAATTTCTATCTATCTATCCATCTATCTTATTGCCTATAATTTCTATCTATCTATCTTAATGCCTATGATATCTGTCTATATATCTATTTATCTAAATTATTGCTTATAATCTAGCTTATTGCTTATATTCTATCTATCTTATTGCCTATAATATCTGTCTGTCTATATATCTATCTATCTATCTATCTTCTTGTCTATAATTTCTATCTGTCTATTTATCTATCTACCTCTCTAACTAACATATTGCTTATAATCTATCTTATTGCCTATAATATCTATCTTATTGCCTATAATTTCTATCTGTCTATCTTATTGCCTATAATTTCTATCTGTCTATCTAACTTAATGCTTCTAATCTAACTTATTTCTTATAATCTATCTTATTGCCTATAAGTTCTATCTATCATATTGCCTATAATTTCTATCTAACTTAATGCTTCTAATCTAACTTATTGCTTATAATCTATCTTATTGCCTATAATATTTATCCATCTGTCTTATTGCCTATAATTTCTATCTATCTATCTTATTGCCTATAATATCTGTCTATATATCTATCTATAAGCATTATTGCTTATAAACTTATTGCTTATAATCTAACTATCTTATTGCCTATAATTTCTATCTCTCTATTTATCTATCTATCTACCTCTCTATCTAACATATTGTTTCTAATCTAACTTATTGTTTATAATCTATCTATCTATCGTACTGACCCATGTACCGCCATTCATTCAGCCCATTTCGTTATGTAAACGAATCGCTGCCTTCCTCTGTCTCTCTGACTCTCAATATGCCCCGTGAGTGTTAAATTTTCTAAGCCGTCATTCCTCATTACGTGTCTAAGGAATTTCTGTTGTCTGTTCCTGATTTAGATTAGAAATGTTCTTTCTGTAGACATTTTACTTTAAGACTTCCTTCTTGTTGAGTCGTTAGCAAAAATACTTTGTATAGCCTGACAGTCATGTACTCAAGCCAAGACTATCCCCAAGGACGTATTTTTTTTTCTTCTTGTTTTGAACGACATAAATCCTGCAAAGAAATAAAAAAAAAACTTGCAATTAGAATTAACTCCAAAATGGGCGGCTTCGTTTGGTTGATCAAAATTTAAATAGACGCTGTTGTTGAGTAGAGAAGATAAAAAAATAAAAAAAAGAAAAGAAGAGAAAAGAAAAGAAAAGAAGAGAAGAGAAATATTTGACCCGACACTTGTTAACACGATACTTCAGTCGACGTGGTTAGTTTGATACGCGACACAAACGTTCAGAAAGATTAGATTACATTTGAGGCTTTTTTTTTTTTTTGGTTTTATGACAATACTATATTGTCATTGTATCTAGTATACAGTCTATTCATTTCTGTTTGTTTATTATATTTGTTCTCTCTTTGTCCATATCTATCTATCTATCTATCTATCTATCTATCTATCTATCTATCTATCTATCTGATTCTGTGCATATCTATCTATCTATCTATCTATCTATCTATCTATCTATCTATCTGATTCTGTGCATATCTATCTATCTATCTATCTATCTATCTATCTATCTATCTATCTATCTATCTGGTTCTGTGCATATCTATCTATCTATCTATCTATCTATCCCTCTATCTATCAATCTGATTCTGTGCATATCTATCTATCTATCTATATATCTATCTATCTATCTGATTCTGTGCATATCTATCATCTATCTATCTATCTATCTATCAACCTATCTGATTCTATGTATCATCTATCTATCTATCTCATCTGCATTCTATCTATCTATCTATCTGATTCTGTGCATATCTATCTATCTATCTATCTATCTATCAACTTATCTATCTGATTCTGTGCATATATCTATCTATATCTATCTATCTGATCTATCAACTATCTATCTATCTGATTCTGTGCATATCTATCTATCTATCTATCAACCCATCTATCTGATTCTGCATATCTATCTATATCTATCAACTTATCTATCTGATTCTGCATATCTTCTATCATCTATCAACCTATCTATCTGATTCTGTGCATATCTATCTATCTATCTATCTATCTATCTGATTCTGTGCAATCTATCTATATCTATCTGATTCTGTGCATATCTATCTATCTATCTATCAACTTATCTATCTGATTCTGTGCATATCTATCAACCTATCTATCTATCTATCTATCAACTATCAACCTATCTATCTGATTCTGTGCATATCTATCTATTCATCTATCAACTTATCTATCTGATTCTGCATATCTATCTATCATCTATCAGCCTATCTATCTGATTCTGCATTATCTATCTATCTGCATATCTGATTCTGTATCTATCCATCTATCAACTTATTCTGATTCTGTGCATATCTATCTATCTATCTATCAACCTATCTATCTGATTCTGTGCATCTATCTATCTATCTATCAACCTATATCTGATCTATCTATCTATCTATCTATCTTATCTATCTGATTCTGTGCATATCTATCTATCTATCTATCAACCTATCTATCTGATTCTGTGCATATCTGTATCATATCTATCAACCCTATCTATCTGATTATGCATATTCATCTATCTATCTATGATTCTATCTGATATCATATCTATTATCTATCTATCAACTTATCTATCTATCTATGATTCTATCAACATCTATCTGATTCTGTGCATATCTATCTATCTATCTATCAACCTATCTATCTGATTCTGTGCATATCTATCTATCTATCTATCAACTTATCTATCTGATTCTGTGCATATCATCTATCTATCTATCAACCTATCTATCTGATGCATATCATCTATCTATCTATCAACTTATCTATCTGATTCTGTGCTATCTATCTGATGCATATCTATCTATCTATCTATCAACTTATCTATCTGATTCTGTGCATATCTATCTATCTATCTATCAACCTATCTATCTGATCATATCTATCTATCTATCTATCTATCAACCTATCTATCTGATTCTGTGCTTATCTATCTGATTCTGTGCATCTATCTATCTATCTATCAACCTATCTATCTGATTCTGTGCATATCTATCTATCTATCTATCAACTTATCTATCTGATTCTGTGCATATCTATCTATCTATCAACCTATCTATCTGATTCTGTGCATATCTATCTATCTATCTATCTATCAACCTATCTATCTGATTCTGTGCATATCTATCTATCTATCTATCATCTATCTATCTGATTCTGTGCATATCTATCTATCTATCTATCTATGATCTGATTCTGATTCTGTGCATATCTATCTATCTATCTATCAACCTATCTATCTGATTCTGTGCATATCTATCTATCTATCTATCAACTTATCTATCTGATTCTGTGCATATCTATCTATCTATCTATCAACTTATCTATCTATCATGATTCTATGTATCTATCTGATTCTGTCATATCTATCTATCTATCAACCTATCTATCTGATTCTGTGCATATCTATCTATCTATCTATCAATCTATCTGATTCTGTTATCTATCTGATTCTATCAACATATCTGATTATCATATCTATCTATCTATCAACCTATCTATCTGATTCTGTGCATATCTATCTATCTATCTATTAACTTATCTATCTGATGCATAATCTATCTATCTATCTATCAACCTATCTATCTGATTCTGTGCATATCTATCTATCTATATCTTATCTATCTGATTCTGTGCATATCTATCTATCTATCTATCTGATTTCTGTCTATCTATCTATCAACCTATCTATCTGATTCTGTGCATATCTATCTATCTATCTATCAACTTATCTATCTGATTCTGTGCATATCTATCTATCTATCTATCAACCTATCTATCTGATTCTGTGCATATCTATCTATCTATCTATCAACCTATCTATCTGATGCATATCTATCTATCTATCTATCAACTTATCTATCTGATTCTGTGCATATCTATCTATCTATCTATCAACCTATCTATCTGATTCTGTGCATATCTATCTATCTATCTATCAACCTATCTATCTGATTCTGTGCATATCTATCTATCTATCTATCAACTTATCTATCTGATTCTGTGCATATCTATCTATCTATCTATCAACTTATCTATCTGATTCTGTGCATATCTATCTATCTATCTATCTATCAACCTATCTATCTGATTCTGTGCATATCTATCTATCTATCTATCAACTTATCTATCTGATTCTGTGCATATCTATCTATCTATCTATCAACCTATCTATCTGATTCTGTGCATATCTATCTATCTATCTATCAACTTATCTATCTGATTCTGTGCATATCTATCTATCTATCAACCTATCTATCTGATCTATATCTATCTATCTATCTATATCTATCATTATCTAATTCTGTGCATATATCTATCTATCTATGAACTTATCTATCTGATTCATGCATATCTATCAATCTATCTATCAACCTATCTGATTCTGTGCATATCTATCTATCTATCTATTAACTTATCTATCTGATTCTGTGCATATCTATCTATCTATCTATCAACCTATCTATCTGATTCTGTGCATATCTATCTATCTATCTATCTATTAATTCTTATATCTATCTATCTATCTATCTATGCTTATCTATCTGATTCTGTGCATATCTATCTATCAACCTATCTATCTGATTCTGTGCATATCTATCTATCTATCTATCTATCAATATCTATCTGATTCTGTGCATATCTATCTATCTATCTATCAACCTATCTATCTGATTCTGTGCATATCTATCTATCTATCTATCTATCTGATTCTGCATATCTATCTATCTATCTATCAACTTATCTATCTGATTCTGTGCATATCTATCTATCTATCTATCAACCTATCTATCTGATTCTGTGCATATCTATCTATCTATCTATCAACATATCTATCTATCTGATTCCTATCTGCATTATCTATCTATCTATCTATCAACCTATCTATCTGATTCTGTGCATATCTATCTATCTATCTATCAACTTATCTATCTGATTCTGTGCATATCTATCTATCTATCTATCAACCTATCTATCTGATTCTGTCTGCATTCTATCTATCTATCTATATCAACCTATCTATCTGATTCTGTGCATATCTATCTATCTATCTATCTATCAACCTATCTATCTGATTCTGTGCATATCTATCTATCTATCTATCTATCTGAATCCTATCTATCAACCCTATCTATCTGATTCTGTGCATATCTATCTATCTATCTATCAACCTATCTATCTGATTCTGTGCATATCTATCTATCTATCTATCAACCTATCTATCTGATCTGTGCATATCTATCTATCTATCTATCAACCTATCTATCTGATTCTGTGCATATCTATCTATCTATCTATCTATCAACTATCTATCTTATCTATCTGATTCTGTGCATATCTATCTATCTATCTATCAACCTATCTATCTGATTCTGTGCATATCTATCTATCTATCTATCAACTTATCTATCTGATTCTGTGCATATCTATCTATCTATCTATCTATCTATCTGATTCTGTGCATATCTATCTATCTATCTATCAACTTATCTATCTGATTCTGTGCATATCTATCTATCTATCTATCAACCTATCTATCTGATGCATATCTATCTATCTATCTATCAACTTATCTATCTGATTCTGTGCATATCATCTATCTATCTATCAACTATCTATCTGATTCTGTCATATCTATCTATCTATCTATCAACTTATCTATCTGATTCTGTGCATATCTATCTATCTATCTATATCTATCTGATCTATCTATCTATCTATCTGATTCTATCTATCTATCTATCTATCCTATCTATCTGATTCTGTGCATATCTATCTATCTATCTATCAACTTATCTATCTGATTCTGTGCATATCTATCTATCTATCAACCTATCTATCTGATTCTGTGCATATCTATCTATCTATCTATCAACTTATCTATCTGATTCTGTGCATATCTATCTATCTATCTATCTATCAACCTATCTATCTGATTCTGTGCATATCTATCTATCTATCTATCTATCAACTTATCTATCTGATTCTGTGCATATCTATCTATCTATCTATCTATCAACCTATCTATCTGATTCTGTGCATATCTATCTATCTATCTATCAACTTATCTATCTGATTCTGTGCATATCTATCTATCTATCTATCAACCTATCTATCTGATTCTGTGCATATCTATCTATCTATCTATCTATCTATCTATCTGATTCTGTGCATATCTATCTATCTATCTATCTATCTATCTATCGATCTATAATCTAACTATCTAACTTATTGCTTATAATATAACTGTCTTATAGGTCATAATTTCCATTGATCTTATTGTATATAATTTCTATCTATCTTATTGCTTATAATCTATCTATCTATATTAGTCTCTTTATCTATCTATATATCTATCTCAGAATGTTTATCTCTCTCTCTCTCTCTCTCTCTCTCTCTCTATATATATATATATATATATATATATATATATATATATATAACCCGCATATAAGAGAGTTGGCGGGACCGGAGAAGAAGTCTCTTATGTCCGGGTTTCTCTTATATGCGGGTCGGGTCTAATTTATATACATTAACACAGGCTCTAATTTGGGACCAGAGAAAATCTCTTATATCCGGGTTTCTCTTATATCCGAATCTCTTATATCCGGGTTACACTGTATATATATATATCTTATTACCTATAATTTCAATCTATCTATCTACCTATCTTATTGCTTATAAAATAATCTATCTTATTGTGTATAATTTCAATCTATCTAACTTATTGCTTATAATCTATCGCTATATATTTGTCTTATAGAGTAGCACAATTTCTATCTATTTATCTATCTACCTATAATTTTTATCGATCTGTCTTTGTATCTATCTATCTTATTGCTTATAATATCTATCTATCTATCTATCTATCTATCTATCTATCCCAGTCTGTTCATATCTATCTATCTATCTATCTATCTATCTATCTATCTATCTATCTATCTATCTATCTATCCCAGTCTGTTCATATCTATCTATCTATCTATCTATCTATCTATCTATCTATCTATCTATCTCATTCTGTTCAAATCAGTCTGTCTCATTCTGTTCATATCTATCTATCTATCTATCTATCTATCTATCTATCTATCTATCTATCTCATTCTGTTCATATCAATCTCATTCTCTTCATATACTATCTATCTATCTATCTATCTATATCATTCTGTTCAAATCAGTCTATCTCATTCTGTTCATATCAATCTGTCTCATTCTGTTCATATCTATCTATCTATCTATCTATTGTAACCTCGGGAAGATTACTGAATAGAATAATCACGCAAAGGTTGGTAATGAACTATAATACTTAGGACAAGAACAGCACATATAAGATTCCTTAGTGGCGTTTAGAAGAAGTAGTCAACTGCTAGAAGTGAGTCAAATGAGTTCCATAATGAACCGCTAACTGCAGAC